TTTATTTTTTTTTTTTTGCGAAAATTAAAATAAATTGTTCAAAATATAATTTTAATGATCGACTATTTAAATCCTATTTTCTCACGTGTGTTGGACTTTAGTTTACGACGTTTTGTCTCAATCGACATTGATGTTTTAACTAAAGTAGTCATGGAAGCACAATCACATGCATTAATTAGTAGTTTAAGTCAACCAAGTAATGCATTTGGGCAGAAGCTTTCCCTTTATGTTAGGTTTAATCACACTTCTAGCTGTTGGCATAATTTTTAATTGCTTTATTCTTCCTACTTTTTTCAATTTAATAATAGGAATAAGTATTAAGATTAAGAAGCTTTCACATGTGGATGGTTCACATTAATATAGGTATTGGTGTTGAATGCATTACGTTCATGATATATATGTAAAGATTTAGAGGGTGTTTGGTGTATATTAAAATTAGATTTTTAGTAGATTGTGAGAGAAGTTTTTGAAATGTGTGGTTGAAAAGTTGTGGGACCCATAAAAATGTGTTTAATATTGATTGTTTGACTTTAATTTGGATTAAAATCAGATTTTAATTCGAACCAAACATGGGCTTACTCTTAGAGCTAATAATAATAATTTTTTATAACCGTGGATATTTGGGTCAGCTTTCCCCCATATCGACTAAACCTACCTAACTAATTTAATTAGTTAATGTGCACTAGGACGGTTACGAAATTTGTCTAAGCCGTGTAGAACTTTATTTCTAACAATACATACCGTATAATTTAGTATTAGTATTTATGAGTAATAACATACATGGATTGATGTGTCAGGTCATGGTGCTTAGAGCATCTCCAAGAGACTCTCTATTTTTAAAGAGCATATTCTATCATTTGGAGAGCATCTATAAATTTAAAGAGTTAAAATTTTGATGTATTCCAACAAACTCTTTATATTTAACACTTAAGTTTACTATTCCCAAAAAATATTTATTATTTTTCTTTATCTTTTATAAGTTTTTCTATAGATTATTTTATTGTTTTTCTACATTGAAAATTGAAACTTTTTGAATGCATTTAATTATAGAGAGTGAGTTTGGCTCTCCAAATTTGGAGAGCCAAACCCACTCTCTAAATTAAAATCTTAATTTAAAGAGTCTATTGGAGCATGATTTTACATGTTGACTCTTTAAAATAGAGAGCATCTCATGTTTAAAGAGTCTGTTGGAGATGCTCTTAGTAGATTATTTCTCTAGTATTTCTATATATTATTTGAAAATCAGTTGATGCATAAATAGTAATAAACCAAGAATCGAATAAATTACGATTTATTAATTTGAAAAAAAAAAAAAGATTACTTTTTCAAGAGTAATGCCTAACACTTTTCGTTTGTAAAAAAATAGGTAATTGATCTTAGAACGCAGCTAAAATACTTCGAGAAAGAGGTAAATGCAGCTCGATTGAGAAAGAAAGTTGGGGCTTTTGGTTCAAAAAGGATTTTATCAAATGCTGTCTACTTGTTTAGTGCCGGGACGAATGATTATATGAGCCCTTTTGTGCTAAAAAATTCATCCATGCTGCCTTCTCATCAAGAATACATTGCCATGGTAATTGGTAACCTCACACAAATAGTAAAAGTAAGTCGATTTCTATATATGTTTAGTAAAATAAGTAACTTGAGTAAGTTCGGGTTTGAGTTTACGACTAATGTATGCAGGCCGTGTATAAAAGAGGGGGCCGAAAATTCGGGTTTCTGAATTTGGGAGACTTAGGTTGTCTTCCGGGCTTAAGAATTCTTAAACCACAAAACGAAAGTGGATGTTTGGAAGAGGCTTCAACCTTGGCAAAACTACACAATGAAGCACTCCGAAATATCCTCTACAAAATGAAGAACCGCTTGAAGGGTTTTGAATATTCTCTTTATGACTTCAACACCTATCTTCGACAAATTCTCAATCACCCTTCAAGATACGGTATTACTTAACGATTATGTCTTAATTTAGTGAGATTTAGTTCAAATAGTCGAGCTAGCTATCTTGATACTTTATAGTTATGTCGTTTGACCTCTTGTACGTGCGTATTTAGGTTTTAAGGAAGGTGAAAAAGCATGCTGCGGAAGTGGGAGTTACAATGGAATATTTAGTTGTGGAGGAAAAAGAGGAGTGAAGGGATTTGAGCTTTGTAAAAATCCAAATGAATTCATCTTTTGGGATTCTTATCATTTGACAGAGAGTGTGTACAAACAAATGGCACGTCAAATGTGGAATGGACCCTCTATAGGACCTTACAACCTCAAGCGATTTTTTCAATGCCTCTAAAATAATTAATGTCATTCAATCTTTTCTTCTATGTTCTATATTTATCTCCATGCATGCAGCTGCAGTTATTTTATTTATTGCGCCAATATTGCTATATATGACTGATCTAATTAAATAGGGAATTTTTTTTGAATTTACGTACATAATATTTTATTTTATGAATGTGTGGTTGAAAATGATTCTGGAGTTTTAAAGCAAGGATGCCAATCAGGGACTAAATGTCAATACGCATAAACATGTTGTATTGTCATTTGTCATATATTATTTTATTATTAATCAATGTTTACACGTGTTTGAAATGTTTTATATTACAATACGTTTTATTAAAAAAATTAATGTTTTACTATCATAACGTATTGTGTTATCATGTTCTTATCCACGATTGTCGTCACCAGGGATGGAGCCAGGAATTAATGGTACGGGGGTTCAAAAATTTTTAAAATTTAATATACAAAAAGAACTCTGAAATGACACTGAATAAAGGTTAGATGAAAGCATTTTAAAGGGCATTAATTATCTATGAAGTCTAACCAATCAGTGTACCATTGGAGTTTACAAGTTAAGTTACAAACTAACACCCTCCAAGAATATTACCAAAATCTTTAGCATCAATAAGTTAATGCCAATACAATTACATAAATACCATACAGCATATAATAGATAAGAATATGAAATAACCAAGCTTTCAAAGCATCAGGATAAGAAATTCAAAGTGTTCGGCATAAATTGCTTTGTAAAACAATGAAGTTACTATAAAAAAAATTAAATTTAACAGCAGTAGACTGACAAAACACTGTAACTTATCCAGGCAAGTAACAAATATGGTCGTGCATTAATTGTCAGATCAGTGAAAAAATACATCTGCAAATTTTTGAGTTCATTAAGACATTAACTTTCCAACACTAATTTTTTCTTTTTAGTTGGAGAGGACAATAACTTGACAAGACCAATTCACACCAATACAATTGCACAGAATCTGAAACAACACACATCCTAGCCTTGGAAACATCTGGATAAGAAATTCAAAATATTCAGCACAAAATCAAATTGCTATGTAAAACAATGTAGCAACCACAGAGCATTAAAAGTGGCAGTAGATTGATTTGACAGAGTAACTTATCCTAGCAAGAAACAATCTTTAAGATGTGAACATAAATAAATATACCTACTGTTGATAACATCAATCTCGTGAAGTGTCACACAATGCACTACTTCCTTTCTCTTCTGCAGCTCCCCATTAGGACACTGCACGAACTTGGTCTGCGCCCTGCGGCCCCATTGCATCGTAATCTCTTGACCTCGAGAATGACCTTCCGAATTTGGTGATTTTCCCAGAGGCCTTATCAATAGCAATAACATCCCCACTCTGAACTTTCTCCTTCCCCTTTCTCCTTCCAATTTTAAGCATTTGGAAGGAGATAAACAACTAACAAGCTAGGCACAGGCAGCCAGCAGCCCTTCAAATTCAATGGAGTATAGATTGGCTAATGTCGCCTAATTCATGAATCATGTGAACAAGTGTAAATTAAACTTACCGGATTAAATTGAACTATGAGAAAACCTTTCTCACAGACGGCGTTTGGCGGAAGGTGGACGAAGGGTTTCGCCGTTTCGGGTTTGAGAGAGTCAGAGAGAGAGAGAGCAGAGAGGGACGAAGGGTTTCGGCTTTCGCTGTTTGTGAGAGAGAGAGTAGGGAGGGACAAAGGGTGTGACTTGTGAGGGAGAGCAGAGAGGGTTTCGCCTTTTGGGTCAATGGGTGGGAATTGGGTTTAATTTTGCGAAAAATTCATAAATAAGGTGTATACTTTACACAAATTCAAAAATCAGGTTTATAGTTTGAAAATTCAAAAATCAGGTTTTTTTTTTATTTTTATTTATGAAATAATAAATTATAAAATCAATTTATTATTAAATATTTAATTCTAATATAATATAATTAACCCATCCCACATGCACCACTCATACCGCTGCGGGGACTATTCCGGCGACGATTCCGACCACTCTTCTTCGACTATTGTTCCGACGATTGCTCCAATTCCGACAATTATTCCGGCGACTATTCTGGTGACCATTCTGGTCACAGATTTACAATTTAAGGTCACAGCTCAAAAAATTTGTAGGTCACAATTAATTCGTTGGTCACAGATCAAATTTTTTATGTCACACAGTCACAAATTTCCAAATTAATTATAGGTCACATGTTACATATTTTAAAATTAATTGGTCATAAATTATTTCGAGATCACAGATAAAAATTTTGTACGTCATATATTATTTCGAGATCACAGATTTTTAAATTAGTTGGTCACATATTATTTTTGAGTCACATATTATTAAAATTTTAGGTCACAGTTGAGTAAATTTTCACAGACTACCAAACATTTGGTCGCAGACTACCGCCACTACCACTATGGCCACTTTCGACCACCCTCTCCAACACTACCAGCACGACCACTACAGCCACTTGCAACCACCCTCACCCGCCACCACCGCCATAACACTACAACACTACCAACAACAAAGTCACTGCCAACAAATCACTACACCACCACCTAGATCCACTGCACCACCATCACCATCTCGACCGCACTGTCACACCACCACCAACAGAAATGTACAACCACCACCATAGGAAACACACAACCACCACAAAATCACTCCAAAAAACCCAAGCTCCCTCCCTAAATTTTCTCTGCTGTAGGTGACCAAAAAACACCAGATCCCTCACTCCCCAGATTTTTCTGTGATGGTGAGTTTGAAGTTGTCTTGCGACACCGCTATAGTAGTGAACGAACAGATGAAGCAGCCTGTAGTAGCAGGTGTCGCAGCCTGTAATAACAGGCTGCTAGTACAGAGTTTGTTTGCTCACAGCGTCGTTACTACAGCGGCATCATCTTTAGGTGGCGTTTTCTCGCAGTGGGCTACTAGCGTCGCGCGCAGTGGCATCGCAGTGCTCGGTGACATCTTTCGTGGCGCCTTCTCGTAGCGACAGCACACATCGCCGACTGTGACGGCTCAGCACAGCAGCGGTGACGCCACTGCTCGACACTCACATCAAGGGGGACCTCATAGTTGCGTTCGGAGGTATCTCCGGTGACGGGAGCTCCTCAATGGCGACGTCAATCTGAGGGAGAGGGTAGAGAGAATGTGAGAGAGAGACAAGATGTGAAGATGAGAAAATGGATAGGATGGAAGAAAAATGATTTAGGGTTTGTACGCGATTAGTTAGGTGGGTTTAATATTTAATTTTTAATTCAATACCTGATTTTTGATTAAAAAACTTTCTCGCCTGATTTTTGTACTTTGAAGTTGAAATAACTGGAATTATGTAATTTCCTCTTTAAGTTTAGGTGGGTTGCAAATTGGGCTTTCAATTTTTTAAATGGGCTAGGACAGTGGGCTATTGGGTTGGANGAATAAATTTTGTAAAAGGATTTTTTTTTTTTTGAAGAATGTGTGACTAAAAAGTAAGAAAAATTTTGGGTTTAATTACAAAATTATTTTATTGGGAGAATGGATTATTGAAAATGAGTTGAGAAAAAGCCAATTTTAAATAATGTCGTCATTAAATTTAGAATTTCATTTATCTTTTTAGGTTTAAGAGCCATGTTTAAATAGAGATGACGACGTGCGCAATGCCCTTTCCCTTGCCCTTGCCCTATCGGAGTAATGTTATTTAGTATCAATAACATTTAACACTGTTCTAGGTGACAACGAAAAGCCCACCTAGACTTGTCCAATAAACTTGGCCTATGTTTGATCCATATTTTTTAAAATTCATTGTTCTTCATATTTATTTTCATTTACACATTTCACGGGACACTACTTTCATCAGTCTTTCAACTAAACGTTTCACAAACTTTTATAAAATTTATTAAGAGTCTGTTTAAGCCCCCATTTTATTGTAAGAATGCATTTTAAAATAGTAAATTGATTGAGAATGTGTAGTTAAAAAATACGAAAAAATTTGAATTTATGGGTAATATTATTTTATTAAAAAAATGTGTAATTGAAAAGAAAAAAGAAAAAATATATTTTAAAAATAACGGAGATCAAGCAAGGGCTAAATAACCCATTTTTGTCCAAATCAAATTGGGGATTATTTCATTGAAGAAGTCTAGGTGGGTCTTCTTAGATAGCATTATTATGATTTTTAGCTATTTAAAGACCGCGCCAAATTTTGAAGGAATTGTACTTGGCTTCGTTTTTGCCGCTAGAAACTATGCCCATGTTTGATATGGATTATTCAAAATTTATTTTATTCCAAACTCATTTTTAACTGTACATTTTCTTTATAAAATAATTATGCATGTGGATTTATAATTTTTTCTACTTTTTAACTAAAGCATTCTCCTAAAATATCACTTTTTACTATGTTCTCAGAAACAACCATGTACATTGTTAGAAAAGTTTGACATTTTCTTTGACATAATGTCATATCATTGAACTATTTTAAAAACAATCAACTTTTACATCCAATAATTTCCTACCACCAATGCATCCGTCAGCTAGGATGTCAACATTTCCTGCCTTCTATAAATTAATTTATTTCCACTTTTCAGTTGAATTGAAAACGTTTAGTTTGGTACAACTTCCAACAAGCAAGACCTATATAACTGATTTTACCGGTCCAAGATCATTTTTCTGTATTTACGGCTAACCTGGTTCGAGCAGTTCCAAAATGTAGTCACGATCTGTTTTCTTGAATTCGTGGACCTCGGGAATTTTATCAACTTTGAATTAAACGACGAAACTGGAATAATTTGACAGTCCATCAGTCCATGACATGCAAACTTTACCGACTTTGACTTGGTTGAAGAAGATAACAACACATTTTACCTGCTTGGTCTTCGTGGTTTCTGTCATTCTGTAAATGATTGAGATGTTTTGGTTTCCCCAGCTATCAAAATGGCTCCATTTCCTCTTCCTGGAAATAGAAATGCAACCTGTAAAGTGTAAACAAGTCCTGATATAATGACCATACTACCCATTCAAAAGGGTAAAAATATTTCCAAGCCATTATTTCCTTTTTGGAATTAATGGACAATGTGGGCCCTGACATTTTCTCTCATTGTAACTTGGCTTAAAAGGTAAGGGGTGGTTGGACTTTTACTTGCCTCCCACGTAAAGGCAAAATATACACACTTTGTGGTTGCCCACAATTTTGCTCAACCATCATTCGGCTTTCAAGATTTTGATTCCCCCGAGTCTAAAATACTGTGTTTTTGCTGTTTCCTTGTTCTTTTCTCAGGTATGCTATGCTTCATCCTTGCTAAAAATTTTCTATCCTATTTTGCTATATATATATATATACACTGTATACAGATTCGATCTGAGCTCTGGGGTTTGATTTACTCAAGCAGATTAGAAGTTAAAATAAAAGCTCTCATCTGTTGAAACAGGGAAAAAATGGCATCTCTTATCCCTGGAGTTCTAGTTAAACTTCTTCAGAGTATAAATTCCAATGTAAAAGTTCGCGGTGAGTATAGGTCCATCCTATTACAGGTAATCAGCATAGTGCCTGCCATAAGTGGATCAGAGTTGTGGCCAGATCATGGATTTTTCATAAAAGTATCCGATTCTTCTCATTCGACCTATGTATCACTTTCGAAGGAAGACAATGAGCTTATCTTAAATAACAAGTTGCAACTTGGGCAATTCTTCTATGTTGATAAGATGGAGGCTGGAACTCCTGTACCTATATTAGTTGGTGTTAGGCCTATTCCAGGGCGACATCCTTTTATGGGAAATCCTAAGGATTTAATGCAAATGTTAGAGGCATCAGATAGCCCTGTTCAAGTTGATCAGGAATGTGTTACTGATTCAAAATTGAGTGAGCCGGCTGAAGCGAAAGAGGAAAGTGTAAAGAAAAAACTTGTAATTAAAGAGGAGAAGGCAGGTGTTGCCTCTAGGTATATGCAGTGTGTGTTAACTCCAAACACAAAAGTAAGAGAAGCAGATCAAAACAATGGTGCAAGAAGAAATGAGAATGAGAATGGTGGAGCAGCAGGCAAGAAGGTTGGACTTCTGAAAGGGAAGCAACAGGAGCTTAAAGGTCAGGTACAATTTTGAGTTATAGATATTTGATTCTTCCTTGTAAAGACTTTTGTTTCGTGCAATCTATCTCGATGATGGAGTTTATCCTTCATCAAGGTCCAATATTTGACTTGTTTTCAGTTTTTCTCTATCAATTTCTAGAATGATAGGTCATCTACTTCCAGTCTACTCCATTAAGGTCACATGGAATGTTAAACTACAAGGCTCGGATTTTTTCAATAACCTCATTAAATGTAATTTTATGTCTGGTTTGTATTCTATGTCCGAAGTTATTATGCAAATTAAGTCATTCTACCATTGGTTTAGGCCAATTGGTTTGACCTCTTTAGTATGCATTGCATCTTAGAGGTTATTTACATTATTTGCTGCACAATAAATCGGTGAGTGCTGTAGAAATTCATAGACCTAACTCATCTCACAAAATCGGTTCAGTAATAGAGGTTTGCCACATTGTTTATAAACTGGCCCAAGACATTGTCCACAGGCGATGTGGGATTTATTTAGATCGGGAAG